TTGTTCCACATTCTCTTCTGAATCCAGCTTGCACCTCTGGAAGTTGTCTGTCAATATACTGCTGCAACTATTTTTTAATTATCTTTATTAAGATCTTCTGTGTGATATTAATGATACTGTTTGATAATTTCCACATTCTGTGGGATCACATTTCTTTGGAATGGGTACAGATATGAATCTCTTCCAGTCAGGTGGCCAGATAGCTGTTTTCTAAACCTCTTGGCATAACCGAGTGAGTGCCTCCAGTGGAGTATCCGTTTGTTGAAACATCTCAATGGGTATTCCATCAATTCCTGGAGCCTTGTTCTTCACCAATTCCTTCAGTGTAACTTTGACTTCTTCCTTCACTACCATTGGTTCTTGATAGTATGGGACCTCCTGAAATGGATGAAGATCGACCAGTTCTTTTTGGTACAGTGACTCTGTGTATTCCTTCCATCTTCTTTTGATGCTTCCTACATCATTCAATATTTTGCCCATAGAATCTTTCAATAATGCAACTCAAGGCTTACATTTTTCCCTCAGTTCTTTCAGCTTGAGAAATGCCGAGTGTGTTCTTCCCTTTTGGTTTTTAACTCCAAGTCTTTGCACATTTCATTATAGTAAATGGATTTGTCTGCTCGAGCTACTCTTTGAAATCAGCTATTTTATCTTGTCATTTTTTCCATTTGTTTTGGCTACTCTCTGCTCAAGGGCAAGTTTAAGAGTCTCTTCTGTCATCCATTTTGGTCTTTTCTTTTTTTCTCATCTTTTTAATGACCTCTTGCTTTCTTTATGGATGATGTTCTTGATGTCATCCCACAATTCTTCTGGTTTTCAGTCACTGGTGTTCAATGCCTTAAATCTATCCTTTAGATGGTCTCTAAATTCAGGAGGGATATATTCAAGGTCATATTTTGGCTCTCATGGACTTGTTTTAATTGTCTTCAACCTCAAGTTGAAACAGAATATGAGCAGTTGATGGTCTGTTCCACAATCAGCTCCTGGCCTGGTTTTGGCTGAAGATAGTGAGATTTTCCATCGCCTCTTGCCACAGATGTAGTCAATCTGATGCCTAGGTATTCCACCTGGTGAAGTCCGAATGTATAGCTGCTGTTTGTGTTGTTGGAAAAGGTATTTGCAATGAATAATTCGTTGGTCTTGCAAAATTCTGTCATGCGATCTCCAGCATTATTTCTGTCACCAAGGCCAAATTTTGTAACTACTGGTGATTCTACTTTGCTTCCAATATTTGCATTCCAATGACCAGTGATAATTAACACATCTTGATTGCACATTTGGTCAATATCAGACTGCAGAAGTTGATAAAAATCTTCAATTTCCTCATTTTTTGCTTTGGTAATTGGCACATAACTTTGAATAATAGCCATATTAACTGGTCTTCGTTCTAGACGTATGGATATTATCCTAGCACTGACAGCTTTGTACTTCAGGACAGATTTTGAAATATCCTTTGTGATGATGAATACTATGCCATTCCTCTTCAAATTGTCATTCCCAGCATAGTAGATCATATGGTTGTCTGATTTAAAATGTCCAAAACCAGTCCACTTCAGCTCATTAATGCCTAGGATAACAATTTTTGAGTTCATTTCATTTTTGACAACTTCCAATTTTCCTAGGTTCATACTTCATACATTCCATGTTCTGAATATTAATGGATGTTTGCAGCTGTTTCTCCTCAACTTGAGTCATGCTATGTCAGCAAATGGAGGTCTCGAAAGCTTTACTTTATCCGTATCAGTAAGGTTGGTTCTATACTGATGATGCCGCTCTTCCCAGTCATATTTTGAAAGCCTTCCAACTAAGTGGCTCATCCTCCTACATTGTATCAGACAGTGTTTCTGGGCTATTCATATAATTGCCTAGTATCGTAACAGAAAGTATTTCTCTGCTATTCATAAAGTTTCCCCTGGTCAATTCCTTGAGAAGTGGATGGCCTCTTCTTCCTAGTCTGTCTCAGTCTGCAAGCCACACCGAAACCTGTGCACCATGTGCAACCCCACTGGTGTTTCAAAAACCAGTGGCACAGACTCAAGACTCACAGCAACATGCCACCACGGTACGACAAACCGACAGACAAGTCTGTCACCCTTAGTCTCCACCCTCCCCTTAGCTGGATCCCTGCCACTTGCTTGCTCTTTCTTGGATGGCCTGGCTTTCCTTTCCTTTCCCTTCCACTCTTCCTGCCGCCTGGGTGTTGGGGCCTGGTCCCTGCCTGGATCTGCCACTTATTTGCTCTCTCCTGGACACCCTGGCTTTCCTTTCCTTTTCCCTCTACATTTCCTGCCTCTTGGAGTGTTGCATCATAGAATTGTTTAAAATGAATAATTAAGAGAAAAGATCAGTGCCAAATTATTAACTATTGTATCTGATATCTGTGAGAGCCAGACCTTGACAAGACTGTCTTGTTCTTCCAGGTCTCCCAAGTTCTCCACCTTTGACAGGATGCAGTCTTTACTTTCTATTGCTCTCTATTTAGTGGAAAATATTTAAGTTTTACTTCTCTGACAAGTTTCTGCCTTACTCAAGTTCCAGCTTTCACATGTTTCAGTGTATAAAATAAAATAATAATGTTCACAAATGTTTTCATTAAAGAAATTCATATGCCCCAAACGTCTCAGTAAATCTTACCAAAGAAATACATATTGACTAGCCACTCCTCGGAAGGAAGACTGGGCAATCTACTTCCGTAGAGATACCACCTCGGAAACCCAAGAAGGGGTCACTATGAGTTGGATCTGACTCAATGGCAATGAGTTTATTTATTTTGTTTTTGGAAAGAAACACTTAAGCTTTCAGCTAAACATTGTTCCTTAGCTGGTATTTACTTCAGAACTAACAAAAACCTTTGAAAAGATAAAGCCTGGCGTGTGACTCTTACAGACAATCATATTAACGAGCCTATATCAGAGCTGAGTCAAATTGAGCAAATACTTCTAGAAATTTCCCTTGTGTGATTTATTCAGTTATTAGGAGTATTCAAAGCCTCAGCTCTGCCACATATATTCAGCCCAGATGCTCAAAGCACTTGATTTTACCCCAGGGCAAAATTCCATATTCAAGCCTAGATCTAGAACAGATGGCTACTCCACCTCTTCTATAATCTGGTTGTATCCTATGAATAAATGAAAAGACTAAAGGGAACACAGATTCCACAACAGGGCCACAACAACATTATTACTATTAAATCTACTAATAATATTTATTAAATCCTGTTATGTGCATGATACTCTAATAAGTTCTCAGAGAATGAGTCCTGGTGATCATAATGTTTGATGTAGAAACTATGCATGTCCTTTATGCTCATTAAGGAATGTGTGTAGTTGTTGCTTTCACAGTTTTCAATCTGAGTAGTGACACATGCCCAAGACCCTTCTTGAAGTATGTATGATATCAACTGTTTACAAATTTAATGAGACCTATAATGTGCACCATTACTCTGGGGATAATGCTTGTCAATATCCCTGTCCTCAAGTTAGCTATAATCTAATGAAACAAAAATAAAAATTTACAAGTTTACAATTACGTTAATTTGTGTGGTACACAGAATAAATGTATGGGAGATAAATATGAACCATATGACTATTATTAATGATAATAACTGACAGTACTTCTGGCATATTGGACAGTTCTGAGCTTTTTATCTGTGTTAAGTTTCTAAAATCCTCACCTCAGGAAGGCTCCATCCTTCCACATTCATTCTTTAGATGGGGATGCTGAGGCACATAAAGATTAAGCAACTTGCTTGAGATCATACAGCTAGTAAGTGGCAGAGTTGAGCTCTATGCGTTTCACTTCCGACTTAAAGAAAGGACCCGTGAAAGAGAAAGGCACTGAGATAAATGTGAAGGAGAGCAGAAAGAGGGCATGGCATTTCAAGTGAGATGGAGACCTTGAGCAAAGGCAAGAATGATCATAGTAGGGGTCAAAGTTAGCAGAAAAAATACTAGATATAAGCAGGATAGGGTTCAATTATGGAAAGTCTTAAAGCCAGGTGTAAGCTTAGATCAAACGCAATAGCATTTAGGAAATTACTGATGGTACGTTGCCATACACAGTGGCTTCTACACATTCCCATCTAGTCCTAGGGCCATATATGCAAGAAAGAGAAAGATGAAGATTTTGCACTAAGATCCAAACACTGAGTCTTTGCAATGTTTCTGGTTTTGGTATGAATTTGCTGATGACCCTTTCTTAGAAAAATGGATTAAGTTGCAAAAATGGTGTCAACTCATAGTGAGGTGAATAGAGGTGGCGCCAGTCACCAAATTTCTGGCTCTCAGGGCTGGTAATTTTGAATCTAGCACCTTTTCTCTGCAATTTCTCCAGAGGAAGTAAGGGAGAAGTATGGCCAAACTATGGGATAAGAATACAAATCAGAAGTTTACCCCACTATCTGTTTTAGCCTCACATCTGCCCCTCCATCCACCATTCTCAGTTTTAGTGGTTCTGTATGCAGTCAATTTCTGAAGCTTTCTGGGGTCTTCCAGCAGTCAGATACTTTCTAAATGGTACACCTGCTACAGACACTTCAGTTTTCCTTCCCTTTGTTCTGTTAAGTCATTGACCATTCTTCTATCCTTTCCCTATCTTGTTAATTTGTGGATTGGGGTTCAGATGTCTCCTAGCTTCCTTCAACATGAAGCAAGTTTCCGGCTGTTCTAGTTTGAATGATTTTCAAAAGGAAGGTAGGTAGAAATGACTTAATTTTTTCATCTTAAAACCTGTCTTGACTACTTGGATTACTAAAATTTGATAACTACATTGATATTAAGAAAGGAATATTAACAGTGGAGAACATATTTTTAATGCAAACGCTAAGAATAACATTTCATGTAGAAATGTTAAGCAATGTGGCAAGGAAGCAAGATAAAGATGCTTGTGGGTTGGGAATGCAGAAAGGACCCTTCAGAGTATTCCCCAAATCACCTGAAGCAGGCCACTGCCTGCTCTGCCTAAAGAGAAGTACTAGTTAGTAAACAGCAAAAAATTCAAACCTTCACAAATAAGGTGAATTCTTCCACTTTCTCATTGGCTAATAGCAACTTTTTCTGTGCACCTTCCAGGACCTGCTCACTCTGCAATGCTAATCCTTGAAGTTGCTTAGCTGCTGCTGTTTCAATTTCTGCCATTGCAGATTCAGTCTCATTTACTTTCGATGCCAGGATAGTAAGCCTGAGATCCTGAAAAATGTCAGTAATCATGGAATAAAAAATATTTCATAAACAGAGTTGGAAGAACTATATATGTCAGATTAGAAAATGGTTGTATTCCTCCTTTAATCTATATATGCATTAATTTTTTAGTAAAATTAATGGTTGTCCTTATTTTCAACAAGATATCCTGAGCATATATTTACATTTATTTATCACCAAAATCAAATTATGCTGTAAAAAAACCAGAGAATAGTTAAAGACATGGAAACTACTTTAAATCAAAAGATCCCATGTATCAAAGAAAAATAGTTTATGAGTTTAGGTGAACCCACAAAATATACATCTATTTGTATAAATGCCAGTTTTCAACACCAGTTTTATTTATTAGAAATTATCCAGACACTACTCCCATGTGTCTTCTCTTATATAGCACTATCATTAAAGTTAAACAAAATCTGAGTATTTCATATAGAGATGTAAGTGTTCTCTGCAGTTATCCGAAATATTTAAGTAGCGCATAGCTTTTAGGAGAAAAAATGACAACTTAAAAGTGGAAAAATCATTGTTGTATTCCATCTCTAAGCTAAAATGTTCTAAAAGCGTACCTTTTTCTCTAACTCGTCTTTAGTTTTCTGATACATCTCTTCATACTGTGACTTCTCTTTTACAGCAACACTAAGTCTTTGCTTTAGTGAATCAATTGATACCTTCTTGTTGGAACACTCTTCAGTTAATGTCTTCACCTATAGTAAAAGTATAAAGGCAATTGTTATCACTAAAGGAATTGTAGTAGGACTCTGTATTTATTCCAACAGAGGACCAAATGAATTCATGAATGAGCTTAATTCCATTTATTTTCTCATAAATGGTATCAAACTGAAGTATTTTAAGATCTGTAGAACTCATTATATATAAAGAAGACTAACAATATTTAAATCAATGGCAAAACCAGAAATTGCACAAAGGAATATATGAATAATTAATATATAGTCTTCCACCTAATAACACACTATCAATTTTAACTACATAGCCTTTAAAACAAAGAGCCCTGGTAGCACAATGGCTAAGCACTCAATGGCTAACCGAAAGGTTGATGGTTCAAACCTACCAGCCACTCCATGGGAGTAAGTAAGACATGAGAGTCTACTTCCACGAAGATTACAATCTTGGAAACCTAATGGAGCAGTTCTATTCTGTCGTATAGTATCACTGTGATTTGGAATTGACTCAAGGATGATGCAGTTTGGTTTTGTTAAAACTATCCTGAACTTCCTTAGACAGGAGATAATTGTTTTTGATGCTTAAACAAGCCAGGCAATAGATAAATTTTAGTTGTAACATGTGCTTTCAAGATAAAATTATAGTAAGTCATGAAACATATGTGTTATACATTTTAAAGAAAAACAGACAAAACTGATTTTCTTTTTCAATTTAATGCCACTAAAGATTCTAAGACTATATCTGAAATGATTAATGAAGTTAAAAAATGAACAATACTGAAAAACATCTGTAGGAATTATAATTTCCATGGGTATGTGGAGAAGAAAGAGAAAGTAAATCCCTATGCATTTGTCTTGCTCATTAGAATTTTTTTTTCTCTTAAATTCATTTTTATCTCCAACAAGTAAAGCAAAGGAGATACAGTCTCATAAGTGGACAACATGTAATGAATGCCATAGCTCAAAGTACTTCATCAATTGTATCAACAGCTCTTTTTTTCCCCCCAAATCAACAAATTGTTGATATCTAACATGGGGTCAGGTACCACGGAATTCTTTTAAATACAACTCCTTTCCCATGTACACTGAATTAAAGTACACACACATGCCAAAAAGTACACTGATTAAAGAACTTACAATATCTATTCGTGTGACCCTTTCATTTAGAAATATATGCTTGATGATACAATTATAAGGTATATTTTTAAATAAAACAAATACTGAATAAAGTCTAGCTACTCCATAAATATTTGGAGGTTAAAGATTTGAAAAATTAAACTTATCTTCTCAAGAATGTTTACAAATAAATATGAGAATGTGCCTATGTTGTGTATCAGAGTTTGAAGTCTAGGATTCTAAAACAAATAATGTACTTTTATAGTAAATAAGTAAGTAACAGGAGCTCTGGTAGCATAGTGCCTAAGGCACTTGACTGCTAACCAGAAGGCTGGCGGTTCAAACCCACCAGCCACTCCTCGGAAGGAAGGTGGGGCAATCTACTTCGGTAGTGATACTGCCTCGGCAACAGAAGGAGGGGTCGCTATGAGTCCGGGCCAACTCGACAGCACATAACAACAACAACATATAACAACAACAACATATATTCTATAATATGAACATTTTCTATGAATTCGTTAAGATCGAATATTCAAGTTAAGTAAATGAATAATAGTGGGAAGTGACTTTTTATTGTCAGCCAACAGAAAAACTGGTACCTTTTTTTCAAGATTTTCTAGCATTTCATTAATAGTCTCATTACTTTCCAAGTGTACTTTCTGTCGAAATTTCAAATCCTCTATCAAATGTCTTTTCATAGTTATATCCCTCTCCATTCGAGACATTCTTGAAAGAAAAATAAGACATTTTATCAAGAGTGATAGAAAACATTTTAAAAGTGGTGATATCTTTATGTATTATCCAGTATTATATATGCTGTCATTTTTAAATGCTATATTCTAGTTACTAACACAGTAAATTGGTAAAAAAAAAAAATTAACAGAGTATCAACATTTTATTGTACATTAAAACATTTATTAATAATTTGAGTATTTACAAAATCTATAGTCTAGTTGACTTATGGCATACACACAAACACATACACACACACACAATAAATCAGAAAAAGGAGAATTGAGAAAGATCAATACAATTTATGAAAACATAAAACAATCGTATTTAAATTACATTTTTGCAGAGCTAAGAAAAAATCAGCTTAGTGCCTAAGGCACTTGACTGCTAACCAGAAGGCTGGCGGTTCAAACCCACCAGCCCCTCCTCGGAAGGAAGGTTAGGCAATCTACTTCCCTAGTGATACTGCCTTGGAAACCCAAGGGGAGGGGTCGCTATTAGTTGGGTCCAAATCGATGGCACATAACAACAACAACAAGAAAAATCTAAATGATATTGTGAGATAATCAAAAAGCCTAAGACTGGTAAGAAACAATCACATACTTTAATAAACAAATGGAAAATCTTGTAATGTCAAGAAAATTTTCTATTAATATCATGAGATTGAACTGTTATATCAGTTTAGCTTAGGTTGATAAAATATTAAGTATAAAAAGTGTTTACTATGTACCATGCACTGTTCTAAGTCCTTTATCTGCGTTAACTCATTCACTCCTAAGAACCTTATGACTTCATACTATTAAACTGAGGCACAAAGCTGGTGGGTAGAGAAGCCAGGATTCAGAGTACTGTTCTGCAGTCCTCACTGTAAACCAATAAGCAACACTGCTTCTTAATCTATAAATAAGCCCCAAGATGTTCTTCTTTTTTTTTAATTAACCAATCCTTTTATTTCACAGTTTTCTCTATTAATATTGCTTTTATTTAATCTTTATACAATATGCATATATGTATGTGAGATATATGTATCTTAAATTTATCAATGACAGACTAGAATTCTATCTAAACATGTTATCACCTAAGCTCTAGTAGAACTATAAAAGATATAGAAGGAAAGTTATTTTGATTCAATCAGATATAAAGTTTTAAAAACATTTTTTATTAATAAACACAAAGTATATACTTTTATATCCTCTTGTTTTAAGTAAAAAAAAGTTTCCTTTGTTCTCAACTTTATTAACTTAATCATTAATTCATTATTAATCTACACATATCTTTGTGGTCAAATAACTGCCACATTATAATTGTTTTCCATAGTCTTGAGGGCATTTAATTTTTATTTCTTGAAAATAAATATATTTACTTTTAAGAAGGAAAATCTAATTTGATATATTAAATCTAATTGTAAATATTCTTTAATAAAATTAGTAATTAGCTTGCAGTGTACAACTATACATGTAATATAACTTAAATTTTCATTTTACATAGACTTAAACATGAACTAAGGAAGGGAACCAAATTTTAACATGTCAGTGTTTCTTGGGGTGCAAGATTTAATAGAGTTAACTGCCACTAGGTGGCACCAAATACAACGGATAGAACTATGAAGAACATACTTTTCTTGCATTTCCTTTATGTGTTCCTCTTTTGCTAGAAGTTCAAATTTCAGAGATTTCACATTTGATGACTGTTTAGTGAGTTCATTAGTTGCATTCTAGATTAAAAATACACAAATTCAAATACACCTTTCAATCTCTGCCTAAAAGCATTAAAATATCAGATTACTATTATTATCATTATCAGAAGAGCAATTATGGTTATAATTAAAATGAATTTTCATATTTTTAAGCGCTTAATTTTCAATGTCCTAATAGAGTTAATATAGTAATGCTAAAATTTTTATGTAATGTACCAAAACACCAAAGAGGAACACAATCACATAACAATTACAAAGAACATACCCCCTAAATATGTTTATGGGAAGTAGGAATTTTCTGTGAAAAATGTGTATATGGTTAATTATTTTAGTAGTTTAATAAGATCACTTAAAACTAACGGTGGATTTAATAAAAACTTATAACAGATTAAATATGGTCACAGCTTCTCCCAACAAGTCGTAAAATCCATTTCCCCACCCTTCAAATTTGGTCTGGTCTGTGATGTGCTTTAACCAACAGAATATGGTAGAAATGAATATGATGTAATTTTTAGATCCTGCACCTTATGGCCTCATACCTCTCACCTTTACCCTCTTGGATGTTGCCCTGATGGCTTTGCAAAAAAGATCAATGAAAGACCATGTGGCAGTGTACTAAGGCACCCCACCAACTGACAGCCAGCAGACCAACTGCCAGAACTATGAGCCCTGCTAAATCTTTGGTTTTGAAGAATGCAGGCATATAAGAACCTAGATGAGACCAGCAAAAGGCCTGCCCAGTCAACTGACTTAAGCTGCTACATTTTGAGATGGTGTGTTAACAGTAATAGATAACAGAAAACCTTATGAATACTAAATATTCTTGAACTTATTAAAAATACTACTTTTATTATGAATGTATTTCTAATCATTGTAGCACTTGACTGCTAACCAGAAGACTGGTGGTTCAAACCCACCAGCCACTCCTCGAAAGGGAGGTTAGGCAATCTACTCCCATAGTGATACTGCCTCAGAAACCGAAGGAGGGGTTGCTGTAAGTCGGATGCAACTCCATGGCAGTGAGTTTGGTTTGTTTTTTTGTATTAGTTTTTCTAAGTAAAACAGCTTTGTGGTGTTTGTTGTTTGCAGATTCCAGGAGCCAGAGATAGCAAGTACAGTGTTAGCGAACATAACTTTCAATTTTGATTCAAGTTCCAGTCACTTGGTCTTTTTGGTATTTTAGTTCTTCCATTTACAAGATAGTGTTGACACACTCACATTACTTCGTTTATTAAATTTAAAAGTTATTAAACTAACAAAAATAGAATAAATTATGTTTTTTAATTTTTAGAGCAATTATCTTGCTAATTTTTCTAGAAACTTCAATTGTTTCTATTAGAACTATTTTCAGATTTAACTGTTTGACTTACGCTAAAAAAAAATAAGAGATGAAACCATTAATCACACAACATAAATATGAGTCAAATTCAGTAGGTAAGATTTTAAAAATCTCATAATCAAAAAAACCAAACTCAGTGCTGTCAAGTGGATTCCAACTCATAGCAAGCACACCTATATGACAAAGTAGAACTGCCCCACTGGCTTTCCAAGGCTTTAATCTCTACAGAAGCAGACTGCCACATCTTTCTCCTGCAGAGGGGCTGATGGGTTTGAACCACTGACATTTTGGTTAGCAGCCAAGCCCTTAACCCCTGTACCACCTGGGCTCCTTAAAAAGTTTAAAATCATTTTAATTTTTATATGAAATGTAAATTTTCTTAAAAGTTCAAGGTATGGTAACTATTGAATGTCATAAATTTTGCTCCAATGTGTATGTAATACAAGGTAAATTTCAACTGTATTTTTTACATTTGGATTGATGGATAGTGTCTATTTTCTAGCACGACCAGAATAAAATGTTCCATACTACTGAATTTATACCAGATAACTGAAGCCCTTGCTTTAATCATTAAATAATTGGCAACAAAACATTTCTTATGTAAATGTTAACAAATACATTACATGATTATATATTTATATGTTTTCTTCAGCAGGGTATTCTAAACATAATTTACTTTCTATTTTTCATTCAAAACAAGGAGCGCCAGTGGTGTAGTGGTAATGCCATTTGGCTGCTAACCAAAATGTTGGTTGTTTTAACCCACTAGCCACTCTATGGAAGAAAGATGAGGTGGTCTGCTTCTGTAAAGATTTACAGCCTTGGAAAACCAATGGGGGTCACCATCACTTGGAATTGATTCAACGGCTATGAGTTTTTTGTTGTTGTTCATTCAGTTAAAAATATAAATATCCATGATTATGCTAAGCTAATAGGGATATTTAAATATAGTGTTATTATATTATGCAGTGTTATCACTATATTAATTATGTATGTTATATTAACATATATTATCACTGTAACATGTGATTCTCCCAGGGACTATTGTGATATAAATGACTACTTACTCTTATTCTAAATGGTCCCAGACTGCTGTGTTTCTCTAATTTTGTATTTACCTTAATATTTTTGTTTATTTCCTCTCTATCAATCTCTTGGCTATAAATTCTTACTTGTCAATATTCCTACCTAAAAACAATCATCCTGTCCCTAGAATGGCATGCTTTTAAAGTGCTACTTTTAAGAAGTTTTCTGCTGAGAATGTAAATACTTACTAGATTTGTGTTTAAAGTAAAGGAATGCAGGAAGTGAATGAAGCATGACAATTTTCTTCAATTGAATATTGAGTATTCAATGAATATTGAATATTCAATGGAGTAAATTAGATGGATTTTAAGATAGCTGTTTGAGCCCTTCTGTGTTTAAACTCAAGGCTGTATTTTAGGTGACAAGAAATGCTGAGGTAGGCAGGCATTGGACTTGGGGGCTGCTTTTCACTTTGGGGTGGCTCTATTTTAAGACCGGGGCCCAAGGTAGGCAGGCATGGGGCTCCAGGGCTGCTGTCTGCTTGGGGTAGGCTCTATTTTAAGGCTGGGGCCCGAGGCAGAGGGGCACAGAGGGGTTAGGAACAACTAAGGGAGATGAACTTGTCTGTCAGTTTGTTGCCCTGTTTTGGCTTCCATGTTACTGTGAGGCTAGAGGTTATGCCATTGGTGTTGCAAAATGCCAGCAGGGTTACCCACGGTGGACAGGTTTCAGCTGAGCTTCCAGGCTAAGACAGACTCAGAAGAAGGAAGAGGCCATCCACTTCTCAAACAATTGGCCAGTGAAAACCTTATGAATGACAGTGAAACACTGTTTGATATATTACTGGAAAACTTTATGAATAGCCCTGAAACATTGTCTGATATAGTGCCAGAAGATGAGCCCATCAGGTTGAAAGGCACTCATACTTTGACTGGGGGAGAGCTGACTCTTCAGAATAGAGACAACCTTAACAATATGGATAGAGTAAAACTTTCAGGACCTCCATTGGCTGATGTGGTACAAATCAAAATGAACAGAAACAGATGCAACCATCCATAAAAAATTAGAACATGTCATGTACAAATTATGAATCTAGGAGAACTGGAAGTTGCCAAAAATGAAATGGAATGCATAAAGATCGATATCCTAGGCATTGTTGTTGTTGTTGCCATGTGCCATCGAGTTGGACCCAACTCACAGCGACTCCTCCTTGGGTTTCCAAGGCAGTATCACTACGGAAATAGATTGCCCAACCTTCCTTCCAAGGAGTGGCTGGTGGATTTGAACTGGCAGCCTACTGGTTAGCAGTCAACTGCCAAGTTGAAATGGACTGGTTTTGGCCATTTTGAATCAGACAACCACATGATCTACTATGCCAGGAATGGCAAATTGAAGAGGAATGGTATGACATTCATCATCACAAAGATTCTTTCAAGATGTCCTGAAGTACAACACTGTCAGTGATAGGTTAGAAGTTAGAAGACCAATTAATACTACTGTTATTCAAATCTATACACCAACCACCAAAGCCAAAGATGAGGAAATTGAAGATTTCTACCAACTTCTGCAGTCTAAAACTGACTGAACATGCAATCAAGATGTGTTGATTATCACTAGTGACTGGAATGCAAAAGTTGGATACAAAGAAGAGTTCCCAGCAGTTGGAAAATATTGCCTTGGTGACAGTAATAACACTGGAGATTGCATGATAGAATACTGCATGATAGAATTTTGCATGATGAACAATTTATTTATTGCAAATACCTTTTTTCAATAACATCAGTTACGGTTATACCTGTGGACGTCACCAGATGGAATACACAGGGATCATATTGACAACATCTGTAGCAAGAGGCAATGGAGAAAACAAGGCCCAGAGCTGACTGTGGAATAGACCATCAACTGCTCATATGCATGTTCAAATTGAAGTTGAAGACAATTAAAACAAGTCCACAAGAGCCAAAATATGACCTTGATAATATCCCTCCTGAATTTAAAGAATATATTTGATGCACTGAACACCAATGACTGAAAACCAAAGGAACTGTGGGATGACATCAAGAACACCATCCATCAAGAACACCATCCATGAAGAAAGCAAGAGGTCATTAAATAGACAAGAAAGGGAAAAAATGCCAGCAGGGTTACTCATTTGTTGAAACATCTCAGTGAGTATCCCATCAATTCCTGGAGCCTTGTTCTTTGCCAATTCCTTCAATGCAGCTTCGACTTCTTCCTTCAATACCATTGGTTCTTGATTATATGCCACCTCCTGAAATAGCTGAACATTGACCACTTCTTTTTTGTACAGTGACTCTGTGTATTCCATCTTCTTTTGATGCCTCCTCTATGATTCCATATTTTGCCCATAGAATCTTTCAATATTGCAACTTGAGACTTAAACTTTTTCTGCAGTTAAGCTTGAGAAGTGCCGAGAGTGTTCCTCCCTTTTGGTGTTCTAACTCCAGGTCTTTACACATTTCATTATAATAATAGATTTTGTCTTCTTGAGCTGCTCTTTGCAATCTTCTGTTCTGCTCTTTTATCATGTCTTTTTTTCCATTCACTTTAGCTATTCTCTTTTCAAGAGTAAGTTTTAGAGTAACTTCCGATCTCTATTTTGGTCTCTTCCTCCTTTTTTGTCTTTTTAATGACCTTTAGTTTTCTTCATGTATGATGTTTTTAATGTTATCCCACAACTCATCTGGTCTTTGGTCATTGGTGTTCAGTGCATCAAATCTATTCTTCAGATGGTCTCTAAATTCAGGTGGGATATAATCAAGGTTAGGAGCTCTGGTAGCATAGTGCCTAAGGCACTTGACTGCTAACCAGAAGGCTGGTGGTTCAAACCCACCAGCCACTCCTCAGAAGGAAGGTTGGACAATCAACTTCCGTAGTGATACTGCCTCGGAAACCCAAAAAGGGGTTGCTGTGAGTCAGGTCCGACTCGACGGCACATAACAACAACAATAATAAAGGTTGTATATTGGCTCTCATAGACTTGTTTTATTTTCTTCAGCTTCAATTGAACTTGCATATGAGCAGTTGTTGGTCTGTTCCATAGTCAGCTTCTGGCATTGTCCTGACTGATGATACTGAGCTTCTCCATTGCCTCTATCTACAGATGTAGTCAATTTGATTTCTGGGTATTCCATGGTCTTGCAAAACTCTATTATGTGAGCTCTGGCATTAATTCTTTCACCAAGGCCATATTTTCCAATTATCTATGCTTCTTTGTTGGTAACTTCTGCATTCTAATCATCAGTAATTATCAATACATGGTTACATGTTTGGTCAATTTCAGACTGCAGACATTGGTAAAAATCATCAATTTCTTCATGTATGGCTTGAGTGGTTGATGCATATATTTGAATATTTTTCATATTAATTGGTCTTTCTTGTAGGCATATGAATATTATCCTATCACTGACAGCATTGTACTTTAGGATAGATCTTGAAATGTTCTTTTTGATGATCAAAGTGACACCAGTCCTCATCAATTTGTCATTCTTGGCATAGTAGACCACATATCTCTCAGATTCAAAATGGCCAATACCAGTCCATATCGACCTTTATGCACTGCATTTCATTTTTGACAATTTTCAGTTTTTCTAGATTCGTACTCTGTACATTCCATGTTTCAATTATTAATGGATGTTTTCAGCTGTTTCTTCTTATTTTGCATTGTGGCACATCAGCAAATAAAGGTCCCCAAAGCTTTACTCTACCCCCATCATTAAAGTCAACTCTATGACATGGATAAAACCAAAACCAAACTCACTGCCATGGAGTTGATCCTTACTCACAGCGACCCCTCCTTGGGTTTTCAAGGCAGTATCACTACAGAAAGAGATTGCCCAACCTTCCTTCTGAGGAGTGGCTGGTGGGTTTGAACCGCCAGCCTTCTGGTTAGCAGTCAAGTGCCTTAGGTACTACGCCACCAGGACAGAAAGGTATTATTTCTGTTTTAGACATCTGGAGAAGTGTCTCTTCTTCCCGTACCACAAGAAGCTAGTGATTGAAAAGTAATTAAAACCCAAGTCTTCTGATTCTTTCCCACATCCTACTACATAATACTAATGGGAGCTCTGGTGGCGCAGTGCCTAAGGCTGTTAATCAGAAGGTTGGCAGTTCAAACCCACCAGCCACTCCTTAGAAGGAAGATTGGGCAATCTACTTCCATAGAGATACCGCCTCAGAAACCCAAGGAGAGGTCACTGTGAGTCGGATCCAACTCAACAGCACATAACAACAACAACAACAACACTACATAATACTTATCTGCAGCAAGACTTAAAATCTAGTGTAAACTGCATATTTCAAAAGTGTCAAAATGGTAAGAATCTATACTGGTTAGGGCTTACCTAAACTAAATTTTTGTTGTTGTTGTTAAGTTGCACAATGTAATGATAAAGAGCATGGACCCTGGAACAAGACGACATGTGTTCTACTCTCAGCTCTACCATCTGGTAGCTACGTGACCTTGGGCAAGTAACATATTATGTGTGTCTCAGTTTTATCAACCTCAGACTAGAGATTAATACTAAAACCTATCTCCAAGGGTTGAAATGAGGATTAAATGAGTTAATATTCATAAAGAATCTGGGACCATCCTGGTAATATATTACATATAAAGAAACAGTAGTTTTTTTTGGTTTTTTTAAAACCTTTAAAAAAAAAAAGCAAAACTTTCTTATTATTCACTTATTTAGAAACTGGGAGGAAACATGGTACCTACCAAAGGAATGACTCTCTGTTGAACAGCCAAAGAATCACAAATATAATTGGAGTACTATTCAGACAAGATTTATAAAGAACTATAAATAAACTAAATATAAACAACTGGTGTATGTATCATTTACTGGAAGTAATATAAATATCCTTAAGTGTTTTATTATCTGTCTACATGAAGTGAGATAACTTGAGGAAGCATGTCTAATGTAGGTAAGACGAAGACACAAAATGCATACTAGTACTTTAATGATACTGAATGATCCAGGGACATCTGAGAAACATACATAATAAATTACATAGAAAAGTCTAATACTGACTGTATAAAATAAAAAAAAAATGTATTAATAGATTAAACCTCTGATAGATTTAAATATAACCAATTTTTTCCTATTAACAAAAACATCAACTGGAAAATAAATGGTTTCTTAGAAAATCATCAAATTAGCAGTCTGGTATCAAAAGAGAAATATTAGTAGCAGAAAGTATTACATACTTTAAGGGACCTAGTCTTCCAGGAAACTTCCATATTAAAACATGAAACAAGCCAAAAGTAAAGATTTATCCTTTTTGTCTCTCTGCAGCCTAGTCAGTATTTGAGGACTCCAGGCTCAATATGGACAATGTGACTTCCACTAACTGTAAGCAGTGGTCTAAACTGCTTAGGTAAACTCTTCAGTCTCACCTTCCTAACTTTAGTCCTCACTCCCCTGAAAGCCAGAGAGACTGATCTATGGATGAAAAATGCATCCCACGGAAAACCATAATGTAAACAACTTACATTTACTCACATGGGCCTGGTATTACCAAAATTATGTTAGACTATTTGTAGTAAGTAAAATCAAATAAGTAAAAGATAGATAAACTTAAAACTATTAACAATGTACAAAATTTTAGAAGGCAAAATAGGCATTAATGTCTAACATTCTATTTTATCTTGGTGAAAAATAAAGTTATGTTAGGATCATGAAGACTTAAACATAAGAAGAATTCCCAGAACTAGGAATTAAAGTCTCTGTGGTGGTTAAGATCAAAGAATATCTCAATGGTTTCATCCTCTGAATATGAAACCTAAACACTGAAAGGTTCAAAGTTACACAGTTTATTCTTTTTTTCTGAGACAAAAACACATTTTAAAAGAAGATACATGTACCCAAATGTGCACAACTCTTTTTTTTGTTATTTCTCATAGTATCTAACGTATTTAACCTTCTAAAATACTGTGGTTGAGGTAGTCTCCCCATATTAAAACTTTCTGAAGAAGATGGTATTCAAAAACCATTCCAATCAATGTCAGTTTGCATATCTCCTTATTAAAAAGCAAAATATTTATAAGTTCTGATATATTAATTTACTTTAAATATTATACTATTAGTAATCCTTCAGGAGCCTTGGTGTTATAGTGGTTATGGATTTTGGCTGCTAACCAAAAGGTCAGTGGTTCAAACCCACCAGCTGCTCCACAGGAAAAAGATGAGGCAGTCTGCTTCTGTAAAGATTTACAGCCTTAGAAACCCAATGGGGGTCTCTATGAGTCAGAATTGACTCAAGGGCAGTGAGTTTGGTTTGATTTGCATAATCCTTCACTGAAAGATAATACTGGAGAGTTTATATTATCATATTTTAAATTTTAAAAATTGAGTCTATTTGACAACTCAATATTGCAAAGCCATCTTAATAGTTAAGGTTATTCCATTTCTAATGTGCACTGCATTTATAATCAAATGTTTCTTTCTGGTGATTCTCAGTAGAGTTATGGTTCCATGTACACGGTCTTCTTAGCTTCCAACTAGAAATCCCTACCAAAAAACAAATATGTGAGGAGTAAATGAGTTTGTTTTAAGTGGCAAAAAAAGTGAGTTTTCTAATTAAAACTCACGAATCCTGTTTCTTATAGGACAATTCTGTTTATACTAAAGCCAGGCTTTAAAGTAGTTGAAAGAATCACCTGAACTTAGATACAATTCTTTATAAACAAAAGGAAGACAAGTTTTTATTCTCCCTCTCAGGTTTAATTTGCTTGAGAGCTTTTTAATGAACCTACCTTTGCTCTGCCTCTTTTCCCCCTGCTCCAACTTCCCCCTCCACCTTCAACCACCACGAAAATTAAAACAGCAAGTCTGGAGAAGAAAGTGATTCTGTTTATGCCTATACATTACATGTCTGAAAGGAACTCTGTTAAGTGTAGGGAGGAATGGAGAGCAGAGAGGTGAATAGTGGAACTGAACGATAATGGCCAGATTCCATCAATTACTAAGTTAGGATATCAGAGGATCTGGCTATTTTTTCCAAATGAGAATATATGCATAAGCAGGTAAGAATCTACCAGGCTAAAACTGAATAAGGTGGTCGAATGTAGTATTTATAGTTTTTGCATTATTTATATTACAATTTATATGGAATTAGAATTGGTATAAACATGTCCTTGAGGATTCTGTTACTTAATATATGCTTTCATGCTTAAAAAACTCTATAATCACCTTTAGTTTACACTGTAGTTGCTTCATTTCCAAATCCATGCTCCTGGAAGGGCCTATTGTTGTAACCTGTATCCGTGGAACTGTTATCTGAGAAACTTCTTCAGCCAAACTTGTGATTTCAGAAGAGGACTCTAATTTCTTTAATAGATCTTCTTTTTCTTTCCGAAGATCAGCCAAATCCAAATTTAGCTTCTGTTGTAAAGAAAATAAAGATAAATATATTATAAAAGATTATATTTAATCTAACAGTTATCAGCATAAAAGTCTAAAGATAGGGAAATGCTGAAGAAAAGATCGGAATTTATTATAAAAAATGGTTATTATAAAACATTATAACCTCTATTGGCTATTGCTTAAGGTTGCTAAACTTACAGAGGTTAAAACAAAACAGACCAGCTGTCCTCAATAGCTTTTGGTTGGCTGGTCTTTACTCATGATGTGCTATTTCTCTCCCTCCACATAGACATGGATGAGCCAGAGACTCACATTTTATTTGATAACCTTGACTTCAGGGCTGATGTACTTAACCGGTAAAGCAAAGCTGGAGCAGGACAGGATAACAGATGTTAGTTGTTTATTCCACTGGGTAGGTCTTACCACCCTACATAGCAGCCAAAACACTTCTCATTTAGCAACATAAATGTTAAGTCCAATTAGCAGACAAGGCTTGTTAGGGATTTAGTTCAAATAAATAGCCTGCAAACAAATGTACTCAGTCTTATGCACCTGACTGATAGCTGACAAATCCTATTTGTAGTATCGAGGTAGACTCACACTAAACTCCTCACAGTTGACTTTTTAATAACATACACATTTTAGTAAATGACATACTGCTTTTATGAAAGTGTGTAAAAGTAACTATATGTTAGCTTTTCTTATTCACTAATCTGTAGTAAGAAGAATGCCACCAAGCTACAGCAGTGTAACAACCCAGAGCTCCTTAAAAGAGAAACCTGCATTACTATTTTATTATTCCAAAGAAGCTTATAATATGGTAATTTAACATAAGGAACAATTAGATGAAATGGTACTGAAATCTCTGAGGGGAAAAAAAAAGACTTTTTATGAATTCTAATTAAACAGCAAAAGATGTGGCTTATGTATATCGTAATATAAACATGGCACATAGTAAGTTATTTAAGTTTTAATATATTTAAGCACGACTTCTAAAAACTTTACCAGTAAATCCATAACTACATTGTATCTGTACATAACTACTAAATATAAATATTTCAGATAATTTAAAAACAGGACTTCATACATTTGAGATTAAACTATACTTTGGTGAAATTAAAAAAGTATGTTTCTATGAAAAAAACTATTTTCCTGGTTATATTTTTAGAAAGTTCTTATGATTTAAAGGTGTGATTCTACAGATTTTCGGAAATACTCATTCACGAATTATCCCAAAGTCACCTCATAATAAATACTAAAACCAAAGTCATAATTTTATTAATCCTGACAGTCTTCCTGGTTACCCAAGCTTGAGTCCATCGCCTTCCTTGTTTATCACTAATTGTCTATGTCCAAACAATTGTCAAGTTCTAAATCATGTAATGTTTCTTATATTCATCACCTTCTGCCACCCTCTTAATATAGGCACTCATTATCCACTAAGATTCTTGCAGTAACCCTTCCCCTCCCCTCAACATTTCCCTACCTTCACACCATCTTTTGCACTTCTTAAAACAAGGCTGGCCTTTAATTACTTTACTGAAAACCCTTCAGGATTCATTCATTTCAACAGAATAAAGCACAGATGTTGTGAATGATAAGGCTCTCCCTCTAAAGTTTAGCTTCAACTTGTATTTCAGTCAGACTTCACCTGAAGCCAGGTTTGCCTGCCATTTCTAGTTGATGACTCTCCATGGTGGTCCCTTCTGCTGAACTTCTCAATCCTTGAAAAGGGAAGGTTAATATTTTCTCCTTCATAAAGCCTCCTCTGTTCTTCCCCTTTTCTTCAGCAAAGTCTCCTCTCCATTTCCATTCTTTTAGCTCCCAAACATTGTGCCTGTTCAACCATGAACCCTCGTAGAGTTTAAATCCTTAAGACAAGGTTGTGCCTTTTAAAGCCTTAAGACAAGTAAATGTATCTATACTAGTATCTACAATAATGCTGTAGATATTGTAAGAGCCAAAGACAGATTTCAACATGTCACTCTACCTGTAGTATACATATGTTTTCAGCTTGTATTTATAATCTATTAGCTTATCACCATAAAAATTAAAACACAATTTTTATTAACAATATACCATTAATCAGGCATTTGTACAAGTAATACACATCAGAGTATTTCTCAGTCCTAAAGCTAAGGCTCTAAATCTAAGTTAGACTGTCTGAGATTAGAATTTGGTAAAACAACTCATGACTAAGATTCTGGGGGGAATCTCAGGCAACACAGATTAGCCTTTGAGGAGGCACTTTTCTTACTATGAACAGTCCTGGGTGGATTTTCACATATGTGAAACTTGCATGCCACTAGATTCCTATCTATTCATTCCACACTGGCAGATCCTGACACTATAAATGTGTCTTTCATTGAAGAAAGAACAAGTCAGTAAATATATTTCTCTAAAACACATATATATGTAAATTTCAAGTTAAATATAACATAAAAATTTATTAAATGAAAACACTTATGAAGACAGTAAACATAATGACTTACATACTAAAGTAGAATATTTTGATAAAATATTTAAAACCTACAATCTTTAAAACAGTTCCAATATTAACTATATATGTATAGAAATGCAATAGAACACCTGTTTTTGAAATAGAGGAAATATGGAGATCAATATTGCCTAAATGCTTGCCAAGATATATTAATTCCTAAATGCTTGTCATGATATATATTCCATCAGTAGCTACCTCTGGTTATCCCTCAGAGTTTTGGACAAATAATTACGGCTCTATTACTTACTACTCTGAGTTTAAGAATTCTACTTCTTTTTTGAGAAATGTTATATAGATGAGACAAGAATGGTAAATAATTTTCTTTTCCTTCCTCTTGGTTTGGTCTGAGAAAACTACTTTTGTGAAAGAGATTGTGCTGTAACATCTGCCAATAAATTAGAGTTTTTATTTGTCCTTTTTATCATCAACTTCATTCCTGTTTTTATATTGTTACTTTTCATCTCCAATTACATATTTGAAGACATTTAAGCCCTGTTACAAACAGAAATAAGCATAAAACACATATAGACAAAGAATCATCATTATTGTCTTCTGGTTCTGGGCCTGCAACAAGCACACAGCCTTTGTTTCCTCATTTAAAAAGAGGAATGATGCTTGCCTATTTTGTAGTTTAGATTGTGTGTCAACTTGGCTGGGCTATGGTTGAATGGCTTGCCAGCTAGATGGAGTTATACCCCATGATGAGATTGTAATTTCCTCCATGGTGGAATCTGCTGTGAGACTTTAATCAGTGGAAAGGGCGTTACCTTTGGGGTGTGGCCTGCTTCTAGTATTTAAGGAAGCTTTGAGAAAGATTTCTAGCTTTTTGGCACATGTAGATCCTGTGTTTAGCCAAGTCTTTATTTCAGTGGCCTGCTGTGTTGCCTGCCAATCTTGGGATTATTCCTGGACTTTAATTAGTGCCCTGCTGTGTTGTCTGCTAATCTTGGAATTGTGCCATTTTACCTGTCAGTCTTGGGTTCATTAGCCTCAGCAGCAAGCAGATGAGTGAATCAGAAAAAACCTCCAGTTCTAGGGGGCATGGAACAGCAGGCAGAGGTGAAGCCCAAGATCCAGGGACCTTCACCCAGCCCCTAGAGCCAGCAGTTTGAACTCAGACTTTTGGCCTCCTAAACTATGGCACATAACAACAAAACAACAACAAACTGTAAGAGAATAAATCCCTGTTTGTTGAAGCTGCCCTCTTGTGGTATGTCTGTTACAGCAACACTAGAGAACCAAGACACCTACCTAATGAAGGTCACTTGGGGGAAAAGTTTAAAAAAAAAAAAAAACCTGACAACACTTGGTAAATTTTAAGCATGTGGCATTATTATCTGTTGTAAATGCCTTACAGAATCTGTTGTTGCTGTTATGTGCTGTCGAGTTGGACCCGACTCATAGCGACCCTCCTTGGGTTTCTGAGGTGATATCACTACGGAAGTAGATTGCCCAATCTTCCTTCCAAGGAGTGGCTGGTGGGTTTCAACCGCCAGCCTTCAGGTTAGCAGTCAAGTGCCTTAGGCACTATGCTACCAGAGCTCCCTACAGAATCTGAGAAATGTCTTAAAGCTTTTCTTAATATATGCATATAACATTACTATAATTTCTCCCATGTCATAAATGTTACTTTGTCTTAGGTCACAGTTATTTGATCTGAATTTACAGTCCTGACTAGGCTACAAGCTCAATGAAGGCAGGTGTGCTCCTCTGACTCTACATCCCCAGCAATGCAATCCCTCTACAATCTTCTAAAAGTCTATTTCAATGGGAAACTGACTTCAGTGGGAATAACTACTGAGCTTTGTATTGATTTATGTGTAATCAATTATTCTAACCAAAGGTTATAAAATAGAACTGAACACTATAAAATTTTAGAATGAGATACTAGTCATTATTTATTTAAATATACACTAAAATAACATTAAGTCTCTGAAAAGGAAAGAACCCTCTAAGACTTTAAGAAGGAACAAGAAAAGAATTAGGGCACTTATTCTTTAGAGATGAGTCCTATGGTAGGCAAAATTCTAAGATGACCTCCAATGACTCATGGTCTAATATACTATCCTCCCCATTGTATATGAGTGGGGCTTGTGAATATAATGGGATATCACTCTCATGATTACATTAATTTTATGACAAAAGGCATTTTATACTTGGTCCCTCATCAAGTTACGGAGCCTTTTCTGAGGTCAGAGATATTCTCCTGCTGGTTTGAAGAAGGAAGCGGCCATTATGAGAGGGCCTTTGAGGAGTCACAAGGCAAGATTCTAAGGGAGAGGCCTCAAGAAGATGAAAGCAGTTCTTGGCTAGCAATCAGCAAGAAAATGGGGACCTCAGTCCTGCAAACACTAGGAACTGAGTTCTTCCAACACACACATGGGCCTGGAAAAGGAGCCTGCACTGCAGAAAGGCTGGCAGGGGCCTGCTGCTACCTTGACTGTGGCTAGCTGACCCTGGGCAGTGGACCCCATTAAGCCACGCTGAACTAACCTATGGAAAATGTGAGGAAATGAAT